ACCCATCGGAGGACTGTGGGATAAAGGCAGGAAGGAGGAAGAGGAGGCACAGCTGTCCTCAAAGAAGCCAGGCGCTCTGATCAGTCTCAGAAGAAGGAGTTACACCTCCACAGTTCTAAGTGGGAAAAGCTCCCACTTTGTGGTGCCCTACCTGAGGCCATGGAGCTTGACTTTCTGCAGAGGAGGCTCTGGTCCAGTTAGTTCTACGGACTGGCCCCGCGCGCCACTGTTCTTTCTATTAGTCATGCACATACCTGCCTCTCCGGGGACTCTGCAGGTTCTGACATTCCTCCTTGGGGGAGGCTGAAGAGCAGGTAGGAGGCCTCAGCCTCTCTGGGAGAGGACGAATCCCTCAGGCGGGAGCTCTGGCCCCCCGGATGGAAAGCATGGAAGAGAGGGGAATCCTGTGTGTCCAACCATGCATGGAGGAGTCAAAACACACCAAATGCTGGCTCTGACAGATGCCCAGCTTCCCAGGAACACTGCCTCGGCGACGGCACCAGTCTATCAGCCCAACAGCACAAAACAAGAACTTCAGAACCCATCGCGGGGTCCAACTGGTCCCGGACCCTCAGAGCAGGCTTGCTGGATTCTTTTTAGTAGGAGCACATGGACCAGCCAGAAGGGCCCTGAATGCCTGCAGTGAGCTACAGGAGTCCTACAAACTAGTAGTTGAGTTTTGCTCGATGTGATGTTTTAGAAATTCAGAAAAGCAGGCAAAGTGATGCTTGGGGGAACTCTAAAGAGAGAAGACTGGCCTTTGCTCACATTCGGCTTAAGCAGTCCCACCTATGTTTGGAAGGCAAAACCCTTTATTTCACGGAGGAACTGAAGTCCAGGGACATGAAGGAACTTTCCAAGGGCCAATGTCAGGACCCAAGAGAAGAGGCAGAGCAGGAGACAGAGACTGGATGTCACACTGTTCGCCCACTGCTTCTCGGCCACTGGTCCTACAGAACACCCCCACCCCCAAAGCAAGCGGGGCTGCAGAACCCACCCCAAATAAGGAGAAGGTAATCTTCACGGTGAATTGCACAGATATAGAGTATTTCCACGGGCTTTATCTGACACTCAGCCCAACACACCTCTAGCCAACGCTTTCCTTTCAAAAGGAACCTCTTTTCCTGATGAGCCCATTTCTGACCCACAACCCTAATCTGTCATCACCCCCAGTTCCCAGAAACAGTAACTTAATGAAAGCAAGGTTCTGCTGCTTCCTCCTTCAAGGTGCCTTGGGGTACACCAGACCATTGCTAGGAGCACTAGGTCACTGGCAGAAAGGGATGAGTCTTCCGTGTGCAAAGGCCAAGAACCCAAAATGTTCACTGTATGAACTGCCTATGCCCCCAGTCAGACCTAAGACTGTCAGTGATTCCGTCACTGGCTCTTACTTGCCATGGTTTTGTGGGAACCCGATAACAATGACACTGGCTTAACTCATTTCTGACGACCTAGTCCTATCACTGACATTTACTAGACCTGGAACAAATCCAGTAAATGATTTAAAAACAAAACAAAACTTTTTTTTTTAAGAGGAGGAAGCGAAGAAGATACAGCCAACAGGCATGAATGGCCCTTGGTCCTGTGGGGCATGATCCAGGGCTGCAGATCTCAATCACCTGAGCCATCCTAGCCCCACAGCTGCGCTAAGACTTCCTGAACTAATCCAGAAAGTCATCTCCTCGGAAAAGCCGGGAGGACCCGGGCAAGCCCATCATCAGCTGACTGCCAGACGCCAGGCGAAGAGAGTGGAGGGTGAAAGGAAAGAGAGAGCTGGAGGACTGGGACGCCCCAAAGCTAACCCAACCCGAACTCTCTTCTCCCTGCTCCCCACACACCCACCCCCTGCACGCCCCGAACACCATCCAGTCAAACCGTTTGCTAGCCTTGGGGGTAGGGAAGAGGACCAGGTCAGACTACCAAGGCCATTTCAATCAAAAACTGTTCATCTGAAGCTGGCGGGAGCCGCGTGCCGGGCCAGCACGGGAGCCCAGAGAGAGGGCGCCAAAGAAACCGTGTGGGATTCCCCGCGTCCTCCCCACCGCGTGGGAAAGCTCCAGCGCTCAGCTCTCTCCCGTGTTTACCTTGCAAAGCCCCCACCCCCCACTGCCCCAACACTCACTCGGGATATGAAGAAAAAAAAAATCATTTAAGGGGGTCCCTGAGAAGCCAGAGCTGAGCTCTAGGAAACTCCAGTTCTTATCATGCATGTGACAAGGACCCTCTCTCCATCCTCCGACTCAACCCTGAAATTCTCCAGACTGAAATCCCACTCACCGGCTTCCCGCTCTCCCCAAGTTCAACTCCTGCTTGTACAAGCAGGAAGAGAGAGGGACGACCCGTCACAGGTGGCCGGGAAGGACCACATCTCCTCACACAGAGGGGGCATTTCTACAATTGGGCAGAGGAGACCCAGGAGGCAGAGATCTTGGGCACAGTCCCAAAATAACTTCCAGACATCCTCAGCCAGTGGAGGGTTCCCATGGGGAAGAGCGTGGGAGCAGCGTGGGATTCCACAAACAGGACAGCCTGGTGCTCTTGGCACGGGGTACTCCCTCCCATCCAGCCTGCCAAGGCAGCGGCAGAGGCAACAGGGTGCACTACGGCACGCTCCTTGGCGTGAGCACAGGTAGACACAGAACACACCGGACAGAAACAGAACGGCTGTGCTGGGGCACAGGAAGAGGTACCAGGAAAGGGGGAGGTGAAGTTCAAATCCGAGTGGGGGCTAGCAGGGTCCCGGGTAGACAGTGGAATGCGTGGATTCTCCGACGGACAAGTCCACACTGAAACCCAGCAAGGACACAACCCCAGAGCTTTGGAAGGGCTTCCTTCATTTGTTTTTCTTTTTTTTTTTTCCCCCTGTAGCTCCTTCCATGGGCCTACAAGGCAGGCGGGGGAGGAGGTATTGGGCCAGGAGCTTCTGCAGGGCCAGCAGAATGCGGGCAGCAGGGAGAAAGAGAGAGAGAGAGAGAGAGAGAGAGAGAGAGAGAGAGAGAGAGAGAGAGAGAGAGAGAACACGCTGGGAAAGAGCCGCAGAGAAGCCATCAGCAGTTGGGAGGGGGTGCTTCCAGGAGTAAACAAACCTGCCAGCATCCTTCCTCCCGCAGCATGGAGGGAAGCTCTGGCTCACTGGGCCGGAGACCAGGGGAGGAAGGAACTGCCCCTCCCTCCCAGGGTCCATCTGCCCTCGTTCCCCTGGTCCTGCTTTCCCCAGGGCGGGGGCAGAACAGGCGCAACCCTGTGTCTGCAGCCTTCAGGGACATACCCACAGAGTCAGTTCCCCACCCCCAACCCCACCCCGACACACACACACACACACACACACACACACACACACACACACCCTCGTTGGCAGTGGGAGGCCAGGGAAGGAAGCGGAGGTGGAACCTGGGGTGCAGCCCGGTGAAGAGCAGGCAGTGAGCTCACAGGCCTTCCCCTCCCCACCCACAGCACTGCTGGCATCAACCCCCTCGGCCTGCCTCAGGGGCCTCCCACAGTCTCTTCCCAGGTGATCACCCCTCTACTCCTGGGTCCCCTATTCCTAACCCCCCATGCCTGCCCAGCTCCTACCGGGAGCCAGTGCTAACAGGACTCTCTTCCTTTCCCCAGAAGCCGCTCCAGAAGGCACAGTCTCCCCCTTGCCCGAGCACTGCCTTACCTCACATTTGTTGGGAGGCAGCCAGGGAACCAACCTACAGCCTCACCCTACAGCCCCCTTCCCCCCCCCCAGCCCCATCCCACACGGGGAAGCAGAGCCCCTCCCTGCCAGCGTCCCCAGCCAGGAGTGAGGCGGCAGGTGCCACTTCCAGCACCTCCATGCAGTTTCCCACGGCTTTCCCAGGAAGCAGGAGGGGGGTTTCCAGGGAGCATTTGGGGACACGAGCAGCTCAGTCACCTGCTACCCAAGCAACCAGGATCCCCGGCGCCTCACCGGCCCCCGGGGCTGAGGCAGCCGGCTTCCCTCCACAAGTCTGTCTGTCCTATCCACACCCTGTCCTGCCCACCTGCCCCCCATACTGTTCCCCAACCACATGGAGTGGCCTCCGGCTGTTTTCTCCATCCCGGGCCCACAGAGGATGCTGCTGAGTAATCCCCAAATCCCTGTCTCTCCACCCCCAGCCCTGAAAAATGAGGGCAGAACCCCACTGATGCTGACCCTCACCCACCAAAGAGAAATGCCTGCTTCTGAGTGACACCCCTGCCCTGTCCCATATACCCCACCAGGGCCATCAGACAACCACCTGGAGCCACCAAGGGCCCCTTCTCCACTTCCCACACACCTGGTAACATTCCCTTTCCAGGCCCCCAGACACCAAGTTGCACAGAGTAACAGCAGCCACCCGCCCAATTCCCAGTCATGATGTTGCATCAGCCCCCACCCTACCCAAAATATCCTCACCCCCCACCACCTCCTTTCCTCTCCAGCCATCTCCATGGTGACAGCAGCATGACTAATGACACCCTATCAGCTTCAGACTCAGAAGTGCAATTCCCCCTCCCCCTTACACCCCCCCCTCAGGGATTTCTGCAGATTGGATGCAAACCAACAGTGCCAGGGACATTCTCCAGAGACTTCCTGAGGCACGGGTGGGGAGTGGGTTGTAGTTCTTTTTAAAAAAAAAATTTTTTTTAAAAGAAGAATATGAAACGAGAAAAATAAAATAAAATAAAAACAGTTCCACAAATCTAACCCCAACTGCACCCAAACCATCCAGCTGAGAAAGCAAAAAGAATCCAAACAAAACCCACACAAGGCCTGAGAATTCATTGGCCGCCCACACCCCGCCGCCCCTCCCCCTCAGCTGCTGCTACACACAGTGGGAGATTAAGGGATCACCAGCGGAGACCCTTTATTTTTATCCAATCCAGTCAAACACTTCGCTCCCGGCGCGCGCATCACGCACGCGCGCGCGCGCGCACACACGCGCGCACACGCACACACGCGCGCACAAACACACACACACGCGCGCGCACACACACACATACACACAAGGTACCTTGACAGCGGCAGCCCCTTGTCCCCACGGCCCGGCTCCTTCAGCTGCCTTTATTTCCACCTGCAAGAGAAGCCGGAGAGGCGGGTGAGCCGGCTGACAGCGGGGCGGCGGCGGCGCGCGGGGAGGGGGGCCCCGGGGAAGAAAGGCGAGCGGGGACCATCTTCCTGCCCCGGCGGCCGCGCCGGCTCCGGGTGGCGGCGCTCGGGAGCCCCCCCGGGACGGCGGTGCGTGCCATCCCTCCCCCGGCCCGCCCGCAGCCCGCCAGGCCCCGGCCCCCCGCGCGCCCCGGCCGCCGCGCTCTACCTCGGCCGGCCTCCTCGGGCGCCCGCCGGGGCCGCCGGGCCGCGCATTCTCCCCGCCGGAGCGCACGGAGGGCGGCACTGCAGAGGAGGCGGCGGCCAGCTGCCGGCCTGCCCGCCCGCCTGCCCCGCCCGCCCGGCTGGTGTGGAGGGGGCGGCGCGCGCGCCAGCCAATCCCCGCGGCCGGCCGGGCTGGACCTGCCCAGCCAGGGGCGGGGGCGCCGCCCAGGGGGCCGCCGAGTGTCGCTGGCGGCCGCCCAGGCCCGAGGCCGCTCCCTGGCCGGCGCGCGCGGGGCGGTGGGGGTAGCGGTGGGGGCATCCCGGGACGCCCCGCGCCTCCTCGCGGGCAGGGGACCCCTGAAGGTAACCCGCCCTCCCTGCCGAAGGTCGTCTCCGGGGTCGACTGGGACAGACTGTGTCCCGAGTGGGGGTGGTCGACGCTGGTGAAGAATCGCTCCCCCCTACCCCCCCCCCCGCCCCCTGCAAAACACACACACACACACACACACACACACACACACACACACGCCTCTCAAGTCCAGTAAACAGCTTGATCCAGGCAGCAGCGGGGACAGGGCGCATGAGGAACGGTCACCTGGCCACCTTCCAAGACAAACACACACCACCACCACCACCAAAACAAACAAACAAACAAAAAAGCGCTATGCACTGGGCACCCTTACCCCATTCTGCAGATGTGGAAAAGAAGTGAGCGGTGCGCGCGGGAGCACACCCCGAGGCTTTCCCGAGGCTACGAAGGGCAGAGCTCGGGGCTGGCTGTGAAGCCCAGACTCCTCACCGGCGCACTATATATACATGATCCCCGGCAGCCGGCCCTCCCCGAGCGCCCCGCTCAGAGCAGGCTCTGCGGTGCCAGCCTCCCCCTCTTGTACACGCCGTACACCCACACCTCACCCTAAGATCCCTCATCCCTCCTGGCTGGAACATACCCCCGCACACATCCACACTGCCCACCCACCCCGCCACCCCTTGCCACTGACACACCCGTCTTTGCTCCTCTCCCAAAGGCGTTCCTTGCCACACCTCTGTGCCTTCTGTCCCTGGGAAAGCCGAGGAGGGCAGGAGGCTGCTCCCGTCTCCAGTCGCCTCCTGCTCTCCTTTGAGCCTGTTTGAGCCTGTGAAGGATGCTGAAGGAAGGGCAGGATGAGGAAGGAGAGACAGGTGGGGGGGGGCAAGGAAAGCCCCCAGCTCTCTCCCAGACGTGGTTCCTGCACAATCTGCTCCGTCGGGTTCCCTGCCCCGCAGTTTAACGCGGCAAACAGCTCCTGCTCCCTGGAGTCTAGGACTCCGTCTGGGTTCAGTTCCCAGCTCAATCGGCAACTCCGGTGCAAGGGGCTGCTGGTGGCCCCTTCCCTTCCCAAGCTCTGCTATGCTCTTCTGATAAATGGACCCTACAGCGGCATGCTCCGGGCACACAGCTTTCAAGTCCTGGGCGGAAAAGCCGCCACCACTCCAGACCTCTGGGGACTCCTTGGCTTCTGCTCCTCGGGCTCACACTAGCAACCGTGGAAGCCAGAGGGAAGAGGCTGGTCGGATCTGAGCCACTTAGAATGTCTAAGTGTCCCGGTGCCAGGGATGCAGGTTACTATCTGCCCAACGGGAGCCCCACTGCTGCCGTCCACCTGCTTCTGTGGGGCCCCAAGGTAGGGGGGCAGGGCAGGACAGGACGAGCAAAGCTGGACTCTGGTGACACGACTCCGGGATACACACCTACCTCAGCCCCCTGGACAGAGGGGCAGTCTGCTGGGCTCTTCCACATGTCAGGAAGGAAGGGAGGTGACAACGGCAGATCCACCAAGAACACTGTCCCGGACTCTGGCTCAGGATGGGAAACTGCCCATCCGCTGTCCACCCTTCAACTCGTAGCTTGGCCAGGCCAAGTGAAGTCCCTCCTGATCCCCACAATCCCTGCTCCCCCACACACCGTCAGCTGCTGGATAAGAGCCACCACGGATACTGCTTGGACAGTAACAATTACTGCTGCTGCTGAGGCTGCCACAGTTTATCAAGCCCCCGCTAGGTCCCAGGCCGCGTGCCAATGACTCTCTGTGGGAGCATCTCCTCTGACTGACTCCACACACGACCTCGTCTCTTGCAGGAGAATGAACTAGCCATGTGAAGTTACTAGCCCATTAAGACACAGCTGGTGTGTGTGTGAGGGGGGTGGGGGAGCAGCAGAATTCCAGTCGAGGACTTTCTCATTCTGCTTCTCCACCCTGCCACCTCCCAACCCCAGCGAAATGCGAGGAGCCACTGGCCTCCCACCACTTCCCTTTCAGCTCTGTGTCTGAGAAACATTTTTTTTTCAAGCCTCCAACACTTCCTCATGCTGGTCTCCCTCTCCCGGGTGCCACCGGCAAGTTAGCATGGTGCAAAGACTTAAAATCCAAAACTCCCTTCCCGGGGCCAGAGAGAGAGTGTACAGCAGGTAGGGCGCTGGCCAGGCACGTGGCCAATTCAGGTTCAATCCCAGGCACCCCACATGGTCCCTCAAGCCCCTCCCTTAGGAGGGATCCCTAAGCACTGCACCGGAAGTAAGCCCTGAGCACTGGGGGTAGTACCACCCGCACCCCCCACACTCCAACAAGAGAAAGAAAAAGGCTCACTTCTCTGTGCTGCACTCACAGCTCACCCACCCCCATCACATCACGGCCCGGCTCTCCTGGCCCCTGTCTGCACTGTGGTCTTCCCACGTGGGTGAGGCTCTCCACTGAGAAGGGGTGGGAAGGAAGTGGGGGGCGGGTGCTGAGAGTCAGAGGCCACCCTCCTCTTGGCCTTCTGAGTCTCCCCGAACCAGGGCTCTCCTCAGAGTGCAGGGCTGGCACAACCCAGCTACCACCCAGCCTTCTTTGGCTCACTCACCTATGTCTCACCCCCCTGACACTGGCACCTCAGAGGGTTCCCGTTCCCCTCCCAACCCCCCGTCCCCCCAGCATTGGGGACCTACAAACCTCACCTACAAATTCCACCCACACCCACAACAGCCCGAAGATGCCCTGAAAGCAGAGCAGGGCTTCTCTGGCGCTTATAATCATTGCACATTCAGAAACCTTCTACTGCTATCTTTCTATTTTTTTTTTTTTTTTTGCTTTTTAGGTTACAGAGGTTACACCCAGCGGTGCTTGGGGGACCATTATGGGATGCTGGGAATCGAACCCGGGTCGGCTGCGGGCAAGGCAAATGCCCTACCCGCTGTGCTATCACGCCAGCCCTGCTACCAATTTCTCTGGTGACCAACTTTTGTGTGTGAATTACCCCCTCCTCCGAACACACACACACACACACACACACACACACACACACACACACTTAGTTATGTGATCACATGGTGGGGGGAGCCACATGCAATTTAAAAAACAAGGTCTCCAGCTAATGCATGGGTTGCCTCTCCGCCCCCACCCCAACCCCCCCACACCTCCTCTGAGGCACCTTTAGGGCCAGGGCTCCAAGAGCTCACAAGGTACAAAGTGGGACTGCGTGGACCTCTCACCTAACTTTCCTCCCATCCCTGCTGCCCCACATTCTACAGTTGGGGCTTCACTGTGGACCACCAGGGGTACTTGAGACCCCTTGACTAGGGGGTGGAGAGTCTCCTCCCACCTTCCAGAGGTCCTCCTCGCCCACCACCACCATACCCAGACTTCAGCAGAAGCAACAGGGTCACAGCCTTCTCCCGCCACAAGAGGCAAAGAACACAAAAGTGCCAGCACCAACCAGCTGGGGGTCTGAAAGTCAGAGGCCCCAGGACCCGCAGGGGGATCGGGGAATAGGGACACATCAGGAGCATCAAGCCACGACCAACCCCACGCTGGATGCCTTATGAGGCACAAAGAAGCACTGCCCATTTGCTCCTTTGGTCAATGAAACATCCATCAGAAGGAGAAACGGGGTCACCGGGAGGTGATACCCTTGCCCCGGGTCACAGAGCTAGAAAATGGGGGGAGGGGGCAGCAGGACCCTCCCACACACACCTGCGGGCAATCGGAGGGGACTTGTGTCCCTCCCCAGCTGAAGGTTCCCAATGAGGTCACTCCCCAAGGGGTCTGACTTCAAGCCCCATAAGCCTTCTCTGGTTACTCAGCCCAGGGCCAGCTGACAGCACCCTAAAGTCTCTTCCTCTGTCTGTGTGTCCTGCCTCCGCCAGCAGAATGACTAGACTCATGACTCTCCGAAGGCCCTGCGGGGTTCTGCCCAACATCCCACACACCCAAGGTACACGGGATCCACCAAGAGGGAAGTCTGTGACCTCCTTCCTTCCCTTCCCCATCGCACAAAGAAACCCTACGCAACCCACGCGCGCGCGCGCACACACACACACACACCTCCAGAGACTACATTGGAAGTCCCTGGTGTCCACGCATCAATTTCCACCCAAGTAATTGCAGCCCATCACACACACATCATCCCCTATATTTGAAACTCTTTGCGGTTGTCATGGGAACTGCCTGTGCCTTCATTCACTGATCAGGCTTCACAATTAGCTTTGGCAGCGGAAGTCTGTGTCAACGGCAAATCTCTCAAAGGGAGGAGGAAGCTGAGGAGGAAGAGCAGCAGTAGAGATTAAAGGGGGAAAAAAAAAAGATCCTCCCAGGAGAGGCAGCAGAACAAGACTGACTGAACCCAAGCAGTCAGCCAGCTCCAAGGGATGCTCAGCGCCAGCAATGGCCCCGCCTGCAGGTGCCCACACCAACACAGAATACACATGGGGCCCCCCACCCCACCCTAGGGAGCCACTGGGGT